TCCTGATCTCCAGCTTTTGAGTTAGAGTTCAGTGACTGGCAGCTGCTTTCCTCAGAGCTCTGTAACTGTACGGGAACTCCAACAAGAGTGCAACTGTCCTGTGTATCAGTGTCTGGTTCAAATCCGGTCAAATTGTTTAAAAAGAAATCACAGGGGAGGCTTTTAACGAACATGTTTTCATCCTCGTCATCATAATCTTCATCATCACTGTCGTCCCCGGCCACCTCCTCCTCCGAGCAAGACTCATCTGGTCCGTGGATAGGTGAGGTCATGTAAGGCAAGCTGAGGGATTTAGTGTGTCGGCTGTTTATGTCGAGGCTGAGCGGTCTGTGTGGATTTAACTCGGTCGGACTGAGAGCTTCAGGGCCCGTCTGCAGGTGTGTATGGAGCTCTGCAGGATGATGCGAAGGCGGAGCTTGCACCATAACTTCATACTCATCGTCTGAGTGGCCGGGAGGTTCCACGGAGAACTCGTTCACCTAACGGGTAAAGAGAGAGAGGAAGTGAAAAGGAAGTTGAAGGTAGAGATGTTTATATTTTCTCTTGTGCAAACCTTCTATCTGTTACCTCAAAGAAAATGGGTTAAGAAATATGTTCCACCTTCAAGTACCACTCACACCCTGCAGATAAACAACACACACCTGGTAATGGACACTGCAGTCCATGTGGTCCAAGACGCTGCAGTCCATTTGGTCCAGAAATTCAAAGTTATCTTGGACGTAGCCGGACAGCCCCAGGTCGTCCCCCTCCACTTCAGTTGAGTTGAGAATGTCGGAAGTATCAGACACATCGTCATCGTCATGCTGTGTCTCCTCGGGCACCCCTTTCACCTCTTTCATGTCTGTAAATGAAACACAGGCTACGATTAGAGATGAGCTTCCATGATTTACATCCACAGTCAATGCAACAGAATACATTTTAAGAATGTTTAATTTAAAAGAAATCACATTTTACGGTAAGTAATGGTCACTATCACATTACAAAGACATCAGATGTATCATACATTTTGTTGTATTTAATTTCAAAATGGTTATCTAGTGTTTGTAATTTGATTTATTTGATTATCTATTAATCACTTAAAGAAGAACTTAACAGCCCCTAAATATTTTGTTTTCTTGTTAGCAGTCAATGAGCGAAACAGAATTTTCTTCTCATATATTTTCATATGTTGGATTTTAATGGTGAACAGATTTTCGAGGTGAATGTATCCAGAAATTGAGAAAATAAACTTTGGTTTAACAAAAATGCATTTTTTTTTTAATCCCTTTTATCATGTTTTCTATTTTTTAATAATCTTATGACCCTCAGATTCACCCCTGACCCAAAGGATATTCATAAAATAATTGATATTGAAAACAACCATAAGTTAAAGCCCTGTTGTTTACAATAAAGAAGATTATGGTTCTGAAATAGGTGAAATTACCCATGTAATCATTCTGGTCTTCATCGACAGCAGCTTTATCATTATCTTCATCAGTGTTGGAGTTGAAGCTTTTGACTCGCTGCTCTCTGGACACACCTCCCATCACCAGCTCCGGCTTCAATCCACATTCTTCTCTGACCTCTTCCTCTTCCTCCTCTTCCTCCTCTTTCTTTTCGCCACCTTCTTCCTCCCCACCAATACCAGCTGCCTCTGCATCCACGACTTCTTTCCTGTCAGTCACTTTCCCCTTGTGCATTATCTCCTCTTCCTCAACCTTTTTGCCTTCTTTCACCTTCCTTTCGATCACTCTGCTTTCCTTCCTCTCTGCCTTCTCTCCTCCCTCTTTACCTTCCACCCTGTCCCCTCCATCCTTATCCTTGCCACGGTGGATGACCCTATCGCCCCCACCCCCTTGCAGCACCCCTAATGCGAGGTTAGAGGTGATATGCAGGGGCACGGTAACCATGGTGGGCCCTGTGATGTGCATGGCTGCTCTTCGGCCTACTTTAGTGGAGAGTCCTGGCGATCTGGACTGGAGAGTCTCATTGCCTGTGATTACTAAACCTTCAGGGTCGAGGGCTGTGTAGGTGCCCTGGGTCCCTGCTCCCCCGCTTACTAACCCTGTTCCCCTGCGGTAGGTTACAGCATATTCGCTGCCACCCATTGCACCGGTGGATACTGTGACATCCAAGCCAGACTGTGGGGAGGCGGTGACGAGGGGAGACACGGAGTTGTGGGTGGAAGGAGGGCGCTGTGCAGAACGTCTGCAACCTGGAATGATAACACACAAAACTAGTAACTTACCCTTAACTGACCCTTCAGCAAAACTACCAACAAGTAATACATATATATTTATAGATTCATTCTAGAGTTAAATTAGAGTTAAATATTAGTTTCTTCTATTGTTGAAATATTCATGATGTTTATTGTTCGGAGAAATTCAGTGACAAGAGCAGTACCATCATTTGGATAGGGATTGCTGCTGAGGGAGTCCATGCTTCTTGCTGGTCTCAAAACAGGCCTTTCTTTCTCTGGAACATATGGAATATGGAATATATAATTATTATAATTATTGTAGAAAATAAAGTAAATGAAATACATTTTAACAGAAAATTTTAACAGAAAACATCAAGTTTAGGAGCAATTGCCAAGACTAATAACCATGCTATGGTTTTGTACCTTTGGATGACTGTTTGTGTCTCCGTCGTGGGTCGTGGAATCGTCCTCCGATGTTGAAGATGGACATCCACTTCCTGCCTTTAAGAGATCCTTTCCTCCTGAAAGAGACACAGACATTCACAAGGAAAATGAAATACCATTCAACTAAAAAGAGTATTATTTCACCACAAACATTGTACACTAGTAAGTCAGTTTCTCTGTGTGCCTGCTTTGTAAATAAATATCACTTTGGCCACTCAGACTTCTAGAGGATGGACCAGATGATAATTACTGACCAATCAGAAAAAGGATTAGTCTACTCACTTGTCTGTGCCTTCAATAATGGAGTGGTAGGGTCTTATTGGTAGAGGACCGTCTCCTGGACTGATGTTACCAAAGTTGGGGTGTGGAGGAGAGGTTTTGAAAAACCCTTCTTCCGAACTGGACGCTGCTGTCGGGGAGGGGAGGGACTTCCTCCTCTCATTAGACACACCTGAATACAGCAGAAATAAGTCAGTGATGTGGCAAAGGCAAGTGCATATGTGTGTTGATTCAAGACTTCTAAATTGCTGCCCAAAATGGCAGTTCAGTCTCATTATTATCAGGCTGCTGTGTTACCTTGTTCAGGAAACAGCTGAGGGACGTGTGTGAGGATGAACTCCACCACGATGGACTGAACCCTGACCTCCATGAAGGCTGCTGTGCCGTTAAACCCAGACGCCTCAATGTCCTTCGACCTTAACATACAGATTTATTGATAGATTGACTAATTGTTGGGAGGAAGAATGGAAGAAATTAGATCTATACTTGAAGGGAAGAAGCAAGGATGACTAAATTAAATGCTGGAAAAAATGAAAGAAAGAGGGGAAGACAATGAAAGAATGAAAGAGGGGATGAATGAATGGAAGGAGACAAGACAACATCCAATAATTTCATTTCTCTCTTAAAGAGAAATCTTAAGAATGAATACACAAACAGCTTGTGTATATTTTCCAGCAGAGTCAGGGCAGATTGTGGTTCAGTGTCTTGCTCAGAGGCACTTCACCAGAGAGATAATGATGCGTGTAAGGGATCTAAGCACACCTGAGCAGGTTGGGGGCCCAGACAATGGCCAAGTTCCTGGCGTGCATGTTGGTCTCTGAGGAATATGAGGCCATTCTGACAAGATGGCGCATCAGAAACTCCAGAGTCCTGATGGAAAGAAAGTAAAGAGTTAAAGAGAAAGTAAACACTTAAACATGGTCAATCATGTATTTATATGTTAATGATCTTGTAAATTAACATAATTTAATCATTATTATAAATCATATCATAAGGGGTTGCAGCAGACAAAATCTGAGATCTATTGTATATTCCTGTAGGTGAAGTATAATCCCCCAATGTCTCCCTGTAGAGCACTTAAATCTATGTATACAGGAAGCTGTCAATCTGAACAAAGAGGCAGGCAGACTGCATGTAGACACTAAATATTCTCCTAAATGATGTGGACTACCTAAACTAATCCAACCTAATCTTAAAGCAAAATTATCTAACAAAATGTAAGGGCACCAACAGGATGGTATAACCACAGAGAAATACAGACTGGCACTGGTTTCTTCTTGCAGCCAGAAAGGTTTTTATGCTGGCTTAGTTTGTAAAATGAGGTCAGTAAAAGAGCCACTCAGTGCAGCAGAGGACTGTACCTGTAATGTGGTATTGGTAGTTCTTTCAACACATCTCTGATCTTTACCAGCCTATCCTCCTCCAGCTGGATGGCCACAGCCTCCTGTAACACAGACGTATCTTAGTACAATTTATCACAGTTTTTGGATAAGTAAATATTTTATTTAAATTAAATTATTGTTGGAAATATGCAGTGGTGCAACGTAATGTACTAATATGCTGCATGTACAGTGTGCTGTACAATTTTGACATACATGTACTTTACTTGAGTACTTCCATTTTATGCTACTTTATACTTTTACTGGACTACATCTTAGAGGGAATTATTGCATTTTTTACTGCTACATTTACAGTCATTGATATTTACTAGTACTAGTACTAGTTACAATACTCATATGATATGATGCAGCACTATACTGCTGATCTACCCAGTAGTAAGTAGTAGTCTTGTTCTCCAGATGTATAAAAACATGTTTGTTTGGTTGAAACCCAACAAATGTCACATCATTGTGATTTTAATAGTTTTTTGTGCAGCTTTTACTCATGTGTATTCATTAGTGATAAACATAGAATAATGTAATATTCTATAATAATACAAAACTTTGACAGGAGCCATTTTGCATAATGAGTGCTTTTACATTTGATACCTTAATTATGTTTTGTTAATAACAGTCCAACATTTTACATTTAAGACTTTTAAGTATTTTCAGACTATGGAATTTCTACTTTGACTTATGTAAAGCATCTGAGTACTTCTTCTACCATTATAAATATGGCACATATAGTCTCTAGTAATTCTTTATTTGCATATAAAGAACTGTTGCAAAAAACAGTGACCATATGTGTCTATGTTAACTGGGGGATCTGGACTTATATATTCCATACTTTTCAAAGGATCATGCATTTGATCTGTCTGATACACTCCATGAACATGCAAGAGGGGGGAAATTGTGTGCAATGTTTGTGTGTCTGAGCTACTCACGGCAAACTTGTCATACAGCTGGTACGTGAGCAGAGGGTTGGGCAGCTCTCTGAAATAAGCTTTACACAAAGAGCTGACACAGTGGATGTCCTGCAGGTACAGATCTTTGTTCAGGTCTGGACTGTTGTCGGTCTCAAACTCACCCCTGGTTGTGTGCACACATAGAGTTCACTTTAGAGTACATCAACACAACACACACACGTTCATATAGAGTATACAGTTACAGATACAGGTTCACACAAAGACGCGACTTACCGTAGTTTCTGTATGTTGGACGACACTCCGGACAACCTGTAGATTCCATCCACGATTCCATGAGTCTCAACAAACTCGCTGCAGCATCGCAGCACCAGAGGAACTGTGGGAAACAGTCAAATAATGAAATGAACAATAATATAGGGAATAATAATTAAAATATTCAGTTTGTTAACTTTGTATATGGACATACACCTTCAGTTTTAATGTATTTTGTCTGTATGTTTCTTAGATGATAGTCAGGTAGTCCTTTTTATGACACATATGTCAGAGAAAGACAAAAAAAATACCCTTACAGTGCAATCGCATCCCTAACAACACGGACACCCAAGGAAGTGGTCAAAACATCATGTAGGGTAAAAAGAAGCTGACTTTAATGATTCTCTGACATTTGCCATGAATTTCCTACTTCTTGTTTTGAGTGAAATGTCTCAAAAACTTTGGTATGGATCGGTACAGACGTCCATGTTCATGTTCTGGTCTATGGCCAAATACCCACAAAAGTAATGAATCAGCCTCAGCTGTACTTTCTATTTATTGCTAATGAGCAAATCATGGCTGTCA